TGCTGTGTTGATTGGAGGTCACAGACCACAGCCATGTAAACATGGTGTTTATGTCTGTATCTTGCCCTCTTTAAAGCAAGTGGGGGTGTTTTTGTTGGGAGGGGGACGAGTGTAGTACAACTTGTCCCTGCTCCCTGCGGCCTGGGGGACAGTGCGGAAGTGTGTCCACTGGCCAGCGCATCTGCCTGGAGGCAGGCGGCAGTGGGCAGGGTGGCGACCCACAGGACTGAGGAGCAAAGAAGCTGAGAGCCACTCGTGAAAAGGGGAGAACGTTCCAGAAAGACGGGACAGCGTGCATCAAAGCCAGAAGCCAGAAGTGAGTCACCTGCGGAGCCAGCCTGCATTCTTTCGCAAGACAATAGTCCAAGGTGAAACTACTCAGTGGGTTTCGGCCCCATAAATCTTAGCGTGTCTTCTTTTTTTTTTTTTTAGGGATTCCAATGCTTTTTAAAAAAATGTAACCACAGTTTTCTCAGTGACCTCTCGTCCCTTCACTCATGATCACATTTGCCAGGGCCCCTGGCGATCGATCGCCAGGAGGCAGCCTGTGGGGCAGCCAAGCCTCAGCAAATGCTGGCCACTTGGCCCTTCCCCGGTGTCCCGTTGGTTACCTCTGCCTTTCCTACTTTTCTGAACAGCAGTAACGTGTGGCCTGCAGATCCTCTAGTGCAGGGCGACCTCAGTGTCAACACGGAGCGCCGAGCCGAGATGCGTGAGGCACGAGGTGTAGTTCTAGCCCTTAGGTTACTCTGTAGTGAGGGAATCACCAGTAATTACAGTCTCTTGTGACCTGATCCAGGGACATCCAGAGTGGGTGGGTGGGGAGGAGAAGGAAGTCAGGGAAAGCAGGGGAAAGTTACACAAATGAGGTGCTCCAGGCCCATTTGTGGGGAGGGGGGACCTGGGGCGATGGCCAGGCTGTGGCCCCGTCACAGATGGCCTTGTGTGCTGAGTCAAGGACATCAAACCTGATGATTAAAGTGGAGGAGAAGTGGATTTGATTTGTATGTGAGAGGCACAGGACTAGGCACCGGGCAGGATGGGGTGTCTGGGGAGAGAGACCCCGAGGGGAGACGGTTACCATAGTTTGGGGAGCGAGGAAGGGCTACAACAGGAGAGAAGGCGTTCCGGAAGTGCAGTGCCTGGGGGGCAGTTTGCATGCGGTCTCAGTCTCGATCCCAGGTGTGCGGCCATAGACATGGACTCTGGTTGGTGTAAGGAGAACGGGGTTTTATTGGAAGACGATTGGGTAACTCAGAACAAACAAGGAGGCTGGAGAAGCCCGTTCTGAAAATGATCAGGGACCAAAGGCCATCAGGATGCCGATGGCATGGCCACCCCTGGGGGCTCGGGCCTCCTGTCTTTTTCCAGGGGCATCTGATCCGTGTGACGCCCACAGGTTGGATACCTCCGTTCAGGCTCCCCAGTGGCCGCTCCGCTGCAAGTCACTTCTCCCCTGCTCCTCCTCAGTCCCTCAAGAAATCAAGGTCAAAATCAAAGCCACAGTGCGATGCCACTGCCCCTCCCCTAGGACGGCGGACACGAAAAGGACAGATGACAACAGGTGTTGGTGAGGATGCGGAGAAGTCGGAGGCCTCGTTCACTGCTGGAGGGAAATGCGCGGGGCTGCAGCCACTGTGGAGAAGCTTCTGGGCAGGTTCTCAAAACGTTAAACACAGAGTCACCCCAGGACCCAGCAATTCTACAACCAGGCACCGAGGTCAGAGGAATGAAAATACACATCTGCATAAGAACCTATGCACCAACGTTCATAGCAACACCATTCACAGTAGCCGGAAAGTGGAAGCAACCCAGCACGCATAAACGGATGAATGGAGAAGGAAAATGGGATAAATCCGCACGATAGTGTATCTGCAGGCACAGAGAGGAATGGAGTACCGATACACCCTGCAACACGGAGGAACCCTGCGGCCGTGCCAAGTAAAAGTAGGCGGGCGCAAAAGGACATGGGATTTCTTTTACGTGAAATGTCCAGAAACGGCGAATCCGTAGAGACAGGAAGTGGATGCTGGGGGCTGGGGGAGGGGAGAGGAAGACTGGCTGCGAACGAGAGGAGAGGACGGTTTCTTTTTCGGACGACAGAAATGTTCTAAAATGGATTGTGGTGACGGTTTCACAACTCAGTGAACAGAGTAAAAACCACTTTAAAAGGGTGTACTTTATGGTCTGTTAATTATATTTTAACAAAGCTATTATTAAAAAAGAACATCAACTGGCTAGACCATTCACCAATTGGCTAGGGCCTGGGACCTCACTCCCTGGGGGAAGAGAGAGAGAGAGACAGGGCCCCTCTGACTTCTGTCCTGGGGGTCTGACCTCACCCCTAAGAGGCTCTACCAGAACTCAGAGGGGCGTGCAAGTGCCGGGCAGCCAAAATGACAGCTCCCTTGCCAGGGAAGCAGCCCACACTTGGGCAGCCTTCTAGGTTGCTAAGCTGAGAGTCCGCCAAGCCTGTTCCTGGGCCGGTTCCGGCCTTGCCCCAGGTCACTGGGTCACGACCAGACGAACTGTGTTTAATCGTTCGTTGTTAGAAGACCGTCCCGACCCCACCGTCTCACCTTTGAACGCATGAGTCTCCCACAAAGCACTGTTTATCTACCATCTCTCTGTTTTTATGCGACTTCAGGCGGCCCAGGTGCATCCAGGTGGATGCGAACCCACCAGCATCGGAGCTGGTGACGGTTCCTATACTAGTGGTTAGAGACAAGAAAATGTATTGAGAGGCAGGCTGCAGTGTTTGGTTTATCAAAAACTATTTTTGTTCAAGGCCTCCCCAGTCCATTTGAAACTCACCCTGAGGCTCACGCTCTGGGGGAGACCTTCCCCACCGTAATTTGGGCCCCTAGCGGGCTCTACCAGTGAGTGGTATGCAGGTAAATGTCACCAACCAGCTGTGGGTGGGGCGGGGACAGGGTGCCGCCGGGCGTGTAGCATTTGGCGATTCCCACGGTGTACCTGCTCCCGCCACGCTAATGACAACCCAGGACATGAGGTCACTGAACCCAGAGTCGGGAAGTGCAGGCCTGTCCGCCAGCTGCCCCGCCTCACTGACCTCACCCTCGGGGTATGATAAGCAAACCAGTCCTGCTCTACCCGGCAGCCTATATTGGCTTCACCTGGGTGGTCCAGGGGCCCACTAGCCCTGAACTTGGGTGTAATTCATCCTGGACTAGTGGTGTCCTCAGGAGCCTGGCAGAACCAGGGTAAAGCATCTTTCAAGGAAGGTACCTTCACCCTGGGCTGCAAATTATCCCTATTTTTAAAAAGGTTTTATTTATTTTTTAAAGAACTTTATTTACTTTTAGAGAGAGAGGAAGGGAGAAAGAGAGGGAGAGAAACACTGATGTGTGAAACATCGATTGGCTGCCTCTCACACGTCCCCAACCGGGGACCTGGGCCACAAGCCAGGCACTTGCCCTGACTGGAATCGAACCCATGATCTTTCGGATGGCAGGATGACACCCAACCCACTGAGCCACACCTGTCAGGGCTGTCCCTATTAATACATTTTACAACACAGTGTTCAGCACAGTCAAAGAGAACCAGGCAGACCACAAGGAAATAAGACACCATGAGCAAGAACTAGCAGGAACAGGCCCTCGGACACTTCAAATTCTAGAATTATTAGACCCAGCCTATAAAACAACTGTGCTTTGATGAAAGAAATGTTTTCGAGTATCTGCAGGGGGCAGGAAACTATAAAAAGCGACATACTAGATTTATAAAGAACATTTGTAGAAAGCCGTACAGTTTAATCAGAGATCAAAAACAAATTCCTTCAGGGGCCATCTGGTAAGACACACCAGCAAAGTGGCTGGTGACCGCGAGAGCTCTGTCTGAGGGGCACCGGGCTCCTCAGCTCCAGCTGATGGTTGCCATGTGGCACCACCGGGGACCCCGTTTGTAGGTCTCCTGCTCTTTCTAGCAGAGCCAGGTATTTGGATTTCTTTTTATTGCAGTAAAATTCACAAAATGTAAGCATCTAAAAGTGTAGTTTGGTGGCATTAAAGACATCAACAGTGCCGGGCCATCAACACCCCGAGAACTTCGGCATCACCCCAAAAGGAAACCCCAGTCCCTTGGAAGTCACTCCCCATCCCCGTGGCCCCTGGCAGCTGCCGATCTGCCGTCCCTTCTCTGTGGCTTTGTCTAGCGGACACATCTCACGTCACCAGGATCGTGCAACACCTCTCCTCTTGCGGCCGGTTGTCTTCTTTCACGGGGCGTGTTTCCAAGAAGCGTCCACGCAGTGGTGTGTGTCAGCGCTTCAGTCCTTTTTTTAACAGCTGGACGGACACATGTGTGCATTCATCGTGTCATTTGGGTTTCTGACATGCCATCGTCCTATGTTAAACACATGTATGACAGTTCTGTGTGGCCCTAAGCGCATATCCGCTGACCTGATGGCATCAGAGGGCTGGCGGCTTGAGGCTGCTGCACTGGGTCTTGCTGTTGCCTGGCCCCTGAGAACGGTTCTGGGAGACGGGTGTTCTCTTCATCTTTCCCACTAGGAACTTGGGGCTCAGAGTGGTAGGAAGACATGCCTAGTAAAAAGCCTGCAGGGCAGCCCCCGACTCAACTCCCCTGGTAACTTTTCTACCCACATCAGGGCAAACTGGTTCTAGAGTGAGTGGGAGTCAAAGAGCTAGCTATGGCTGTGACCTTGAACTTCCCTGTGACTCAGTTTCCCCATGTGTGTTGGAAGAGCCTCTCTCCAAGGCCCAAGCTTGCTGACAGGGTCACTCCCACCTTCCCCAGCGTCCATCTGTGAATTAGCTCTGGTCTAGTTGGTTTAGCGGCACCTGAACACAAAGGCGTGGCACCTGGGTTGTCCTGATAACCGTAGATTCCTCCACAGAGCTGTCCTGGGGCAGGGTGGGGAAGAATCAGCATCCAGAGTCCTCCAAGATGCTGATTCTCATTGAAATTTCCCTGCTGAAAGCCATTTAGTAAGCAAGGGCGAATGTCTCTCGTGATCTGCCCCGCCCCAGACAGCTTTCCTCCGACCCCAGTTTTCCAAAAGGACGCAGGAAAGGGAAGCGACGTCCCAGCTCGCGTGTTAACACGCGGCAGAGTGTTTCTCAACTCTCCAAGAGCACCTCGCGTCCTGGATCGCCGCTTTCAACTCCGCGAAGTCAACAGCCCCGCAGGAAACTTGCGTTACTGCACCCGCTGCCGCAAACCCGGGGCGGTGGACCAGCCGCCGGGCTGGCTCCCACGGAAGGCGCCCCCTCCGCGGCCAGCCCGCCCTCCCCGAGGCACCCCGCGGCACCTGCGGCCTCCGGGTGAGTTTCTGCGCGCCTGTGGGCCCGCCGCCCCCGCCGCGTGCCCGGGGCTGGGTCGCCGGGCGCCCCTCGCTGCCACCCTGCGGTGGGCGGGAGGCTGATGGCCCCGTGGCGGCGGCGCCCGGAGGCCGCACTGCTGGCGGCCGTGGCGGCGCTGCGCCCCCTGCTCGGTGCAGCTGCCGCCCGGCGCTTGCGCACTGGGCCCGGGCGCGCGGCGGCCCCGGCTTTGTGTGTGTGTATGTGTGTGAGTGTGTGTGAGTCTGTGTGTGAGTGAGTGAGCGGCGGGCGGGCGGGCGGGCGCGAGTGTGGCCGCCGCGGAGCGCGAGCAGGACCCGGCGGCGCGCTCGCAGCCTCTCTCTCCCCGCCAGAACCATGTCGGGCAGGTCGGTTCGAGCCGAGACCAGGAGCCGGGCCAAAGATGATATCAAGAGGGTCATGGCGGCTATCGAGAAAGTGCGCAAATGGTAAGCGGAGGCGCCGCTGGGCGCCGCGGCCGCCCGACCCCAGATCACATACAAAAAGCCGGCGGGCGCAGCGCCCGGTCGCCCGCGGGCCCGGGAGTTGGAGAGGGCGGGCTGCGCGCCAGCCGGGTCACCTGCGCGAGGCGGGGGCCGCGGCCGCTGCCCAGGTGCGCTCGCGCCTGTCGCCCACCTGGCGCGGCGGCGGCGGCGGCAGCTCGGAGGCGGGGGCGCCCGGGGCCGGGTGGCCGAGCGGCGGGCAGTCCCCGCCGCGGCGCTCGGCTCCCGGGAGGGGGGCTCGAGGCCGGCCCCAGAAGCCATTTCGTTTTGTGCAAGTCACATGAAAGCGGCTTCCCGCGCGCCGGGGCCGCGATGCTGGCGGCGGTGGGGAGAGCGCGAGCTCCATTGTGCAGCGCCGAGCGGGCCGCCGCCGTCTCCGTCTCCTCCCCGCGCGCCCCGGGCGGCGCAGTGTGCCGGCCCCCGCGCCCTTGCCCGCGCCGGGCCTCCCTCCCTCGCTCCCTCCCCGGCTGGCTCCCTCGCTCGCTCCCTCGCTCGCTCCCCGCCTCCCAGGCCCGGCGCCCTCGAGTCTGCGGAGTTTGCAGAGCGCGAGCCGTTTAAATTTAGCGCTTTGGGCTGCCTGGAGCGAGGGCTCTAGGCGGGGAAGCAAGATGGGGGCGAGCGCGAGGAGGGGACGCCGCGGGGCCCGGGGCCCCGGGCACCCCCTGCGCCGTCTCCGCCCGGCACCCGGGCGCGGGGCTCGGGTGAGCGACTGTTTTTTGGCCAGAACCGGTCCTGGGCCGCGTCTGCCTTTCCCAAGCCAGCAGCTCGTGTTTGTTTTGCGGAGGGAGCCGTTGTTTTGTTCTCTGAGTGGGGGGACAGGGGGACTCGGGCTTGGCTTCCAGCTTGCGCGCGAGTGTCCGGCGTGGCCTCATGGTAATTAATAGGACCGACCGCTCGCTCGGCCTCGGCGGGGTCTGACTCGGAGTCGGCCCGAGGGCCAGGCCCGAGGCTCAGCGGATGGCCAGGTTGGGGCGGACTTGTTGAAAACTCCCAGCTCCCTGGTTTCAACTTTATTATTTTTTTTCCCACGGCTTCACCAGGGTCAGGGAGGGAGAGGAGCGACGCTCTGGAGTGTCAGCGCCAGCGGGCTCGCCCCGGCCTTTTATTTAAAGCCTGAAAACTGGTCAGGCCCCCCGTGGCGGGCTGTGTTTATGTTTAGGGGTGTCATTTCTTGAGTAACGCCTTGGTCTCTAAAAACCACAGGGGGCGAGGATCCGGTCTAGCCGGGTCGCGAGTTAGCTGTCCTTTCTGAGTCCAACCCAACAAAAAAGGCAAGAGGAAAATCAATAAAGTCCACGTGCTCCCGGGCCTCCTATGGAAAGGGCTGCTTGCAGATGGCCGGATGCCCGGCGGAGGGCTGGGTTTGGCTCCAATGGGACAAAGAATTTTCAGAACCGTGAGAAGGGGAGGCCTTCCAAAGTTGAGATCCAAGTCCTCGGGGGCCGTGGGAGCTCCCCTCGCGCGCAGGGCACCCCGCGGCCGACTGGAGCCATTTAAAAATGGCAGAAACAGCTGCAGGCCAAACACACACACAGGAAAACAAGCCCACAGCCCCTTCTCCCGAGCCGCGCTCCCCCCCACGGTGTGTGGGGGGGAACCTGGAGTTGTCTCCTTCTCTCCTGTGCAAAGAAAGAACTCCAGTCTGGGCCTGAGTCCCTTCTGTCACCGCCCGGAGGCGAGAAGGGCACAAGGGGCAAGCTGCCGCCCATTCTCTGTTCCATAAGGCGTGGTGGGACCTTCTGCCCCAGGTCGCCCTGCACCCTGCCAGCTGCTCCCCTAGGGCCCGCCTGCCAGCTGCTTTGCAGGGAAGGCAGATGGAGCGAGGGGCTTTCCCACCCCGAGCCCCGCTGTAGGCCGGCAGCGTTTGGGGGGAGGGGAAGAGAACGGATCTCCTCCCTCCCTGTGTTTTGGGAAACTACTTCTCCGGTCCTCTAACGACCTCAGGCTTTGGGACCTCAGGGCGGAGCATCCGAGTCACTTCCGTGCGGTGACCTTGGGCAAACCCTGTAACTTCTCTAACCCTGGCCGCCAGGGGGGTCCTTCGCTGTTTCCTGTCCCCCACTCCCACTCCAGAATAAGATTCCTTATCCCGGCCCACGGGGAGCATCGTTAAATGTAGTCTTTATTGTAGGGTGGACTCTGCAGACGCAAACATACATTTCGCAGATGGTTTTTTTCTTGTTCTTTTCCCCCTGCCCCTTCTAAGCGAAAAAGGCTTTGCCTTATTTCTTGGGTTTCCCCAGCTGGGAGAAACCAAATCTCACCTTCCAGAAGCCTGGAGGACAGATTCCCCAGCCAGCCCTCCAGACTTTGGGTTGTTTATTAACTGCGTGGCCACCAACCATGCACCTCGCTGCTGGCTGGAGGCTGGGTTGCCAGATTTAGCAACAAACAAACAAATAAATAAATAAAACACAGGATGCCAAGTTAAATTCGAATTTCAGGTAAACAACAAGATAATTTTTAAAAATACTTAAAAAAATCCTAAGTATGCCTCATGCACTATATGGGAAATACACTTAAAAAATAAAAGGAAAAAAGTCCATTGTTTATGTGAAATTCAGGTTTAAGTCAGCATTCTCTGTTTTCCGCAGAGGATGGTGGAGGGGACCCGCACACTATCCAGCCAGGAAGCCTTGGGCCGTACTTCTGCCCGGCTCCGGTGACCCCCAACCAACCCCTCTGCCAGCCCTGCCCGCCCCCCCGGAAGAAGCCAGCAGCCAGCCGTGACCGCCCCGTCCACAGCGGCCGTTCCTCCTCTCCCCTCTGTCTGGTGTCCCAGCAGACAAGGTGGCGGAGTGTGAAGCAGCCAGAAGATGGCTGAAGGGAGGAGAAAATGGTGGCCCCTTTTCGGGAAACTGGGCTGGGGTGAGAGGCCTGGTTGTGGGTGGGGGTGTCAGGGGAGGTGGGGGTCCCTGGATGGGGGAAGCAAAGGTTTAAGCTGAGAACTAGGCTTAGGCTGGGGATCCCCTGGGCCTTTGGTCTGAAGAGTCCCTCAGTGACTTGTGGATACAAAGAGAGGACTTCCTACCTGTCCCGGGGGGGGCTGGTGTGTGCCTAGGGCCTCACCTCAGTGCCCCCAGGGGTGACCTCCCACCAGGCACAGGGCAGGACACGTGAGGGGAAGGCCTCCTGAGGTGTCAAAAACTAGCGCTGTGGGGGTGACTACAAAGTGCGGGAGGTCGAGCTCTCTTTGAAGGAGCCAGGTGACCCCGGATGGCCTTGCCCTTGGACCTGGACCTGGGAGAACATTGGGAATTGGCCTTGGTCTGGAGAATCCAGAATGGGCGCTGTAGTTTACATAGGAGCCTGTGGTGGGGCGGCGCGCTGGGGGCTCTGTGTCTACAGCCAGGGCTTCCTTTACTCTTTCCATCCAGGAGCCGAAGTCTGACAGGAAGAGAGGGAGACCTAAGCATGGCTGGTAACGGGGGGCCATGCGGGCTGGAGGGCCCGGGGTGCGTGCAGGGGCAGCTTCATGCAAGGCTGCTGAATTTATGTATTGGGTAAAGCTTAGCAGTTGATTCAGACTTTTAAAAAGATTTTGTTTTTATTTTATTTTTAGAGATGGGAAGGGAAGGAGAAAAGAGACAGAGAAACATCAATGCGTGGTTGTCTCTCGAGCGCCCCCCTCCTGGGGGCCTGGCCTGCAACCCAGGCATGTGCCCTGACTGGGAATTGAATCAACGACCCTTTGGTTCTAAGGCCGGCACCCGGTCCACTGAGCCGCAGCGGCCAGGGCCAGCTGATTCTGATTTTTAATAGTAGGTAGGCTGGAGAAAACATGCCTGTTGGCCACTTGTTTGCCACACACGATGTGAGGTAATAGCTACAGCTTAATACTCTCATTGGGGTGGGGGCCATGTGACCTGGGTGGGGGGTTGGGGGCGGGAGCGGGAACTCAGCTACTCCTCTGAGCTCCTGTGACGTTTCCCAAGGCGCCGCCAAGCCACCCGCTTGATGAGCCCCCCCAGAGCTCACTTCTGCGAAACCCCCTCCGGCCCTCCCTGGTGCTTGCTCAGTGACTACACCTGAGCTCCTGGGGCTCCCTCTGCCCAGGTGGGCAGGCCCCAGGGCAGGTTCCTCTCTGCCCCACAGCCCTCAGTGGCCACACCTAGAAATGCAGCTGAAGCTTGGTGGGCTGAGGGCTCGGGCCAGGGGTCACCAGCCGGAGTGACCCTCATGACCTGCAAGGCTGGCAACCTCTCTGAGGAGGCCTGCCGGCTGCAAACACTCATCCTGTCTGGGAAGGTGCCTTGTGTGTTGCAAGTCAATTGCTTTTTTTTCCTACCACAATGAGGCCATGGATTTGCTGAGCTTCTGGGGCTCCGCCCAGAACGCCAGTGGTGGGCTTGTGAGCATAAGCGCGCCTGTGGTCACTTGCGCAGGGTCCCAGCCGTTGGCACGTTGGGAGTGGGTTCCTAGTTTCCACAGCAGACGGAGCAGCCGAGGCTGGGCCCTGGAGTCAGAGCCTGTGTCCAGGCCCCATTCTGCCCCCGACTAGCTGTGTGACCATGAACTAGTGGAATGACCTCTCTGGGCCTCCTGTCCCCCCATCTGTGGAGTGATGTGATAGTAGCCCCCCCTTTCAGGGGCCCGCTGGCCGTCTCTGGGAGAGAGAGCATGTCAATAAAATACTTGGCACGAATCCTCGGCACACAATGGCTATTATGATTGTTGCTTTGTCACTGAGACTGTTTCTTGGAACGCCCCTGTCCCTTCCTGGCACCTTCTGACTGTTCAGAGTGGAGGTGGGGAAATACTAGGATAGAGGATTGTCCATCCTGCCCCCGGGAGGCGGGGAGGCAGTGACTGACGCACCTGCCTGTATGTCCTCCTTTCTAGGATGAAAGGGTCGGGGACAGGGCGGACAGGCATCTGAGTACTGGCCCTGGGAGGGTGACTTCCCCTCCCCGCTCCCTGGGCCTCACTTTCTTTATCTGTCGAGTGGGGACCGTGACAGTTCCTGCCGCCCAAGATCGTGGGGAGATCAGAGCAAGTGTGTACAGCGCCTGGCGCATCGAACGCACAAAACAGCCCCTGATACAATCATGGCGAGGGCCCAGCTTCCCCCAGAGAGAACAGGTGGGCCCCGAGCGGGCAGTGTGACCAGGGTGCAGTTGGCTGGTTTCGAGTGGGCTCGGGGACCCAGAACCCGCTGTGGGGAGGGGGTGCCCGGTGGCTGTGTCAGGTCTCACAAGCAGCGCGCGAGGGACCTTCCCCACCCCTGCAACATGGAGGGGAGGCTGAGATCTGGGCGGGGAAGATTCGGGAGGTGTCGGGCAGCTCACCCACACAGGGGCTCAGGCCACGCAGGTCCTCAGTTCGGCTGGAACCTTGTCACTGAAGCTGCCGAGGGCTCCCAGCAGCGACACTGCCTGTGTGGGTGCCTGGCTCTCACCTCCCGCTGCGGCCCCTCCTATCAGCTGATTTCCTCATCGAGTGGAAGGCAGGTCCCTCTGACCTCCTGCCTCTCCCAGGATGGCAGAGCCTGGTGCTGGGAGCTGGGACCCTGGAGGCAGAGCTGCTTGGGTTCGAATCCCCACTGTCCCTCTGGTGGGTTCTCCCGGAGCCTAGGTGCCCTCTGGTGTGTGGCCTCTGGGTGTCACTCTCTGTGTTTGGGGCAGGAAGTGATACAACCTGGTTTAGGGATTGCAGGGGGTCAAGGACAGAAATTCAGAGGCTGTGACAATAACCTAGCAGGGGTGTTCAAACTTTTGGCGTTTCTGAGCCACGCATTAAATATGCTGTGACATGTAATCACAAAAAAAAATCGGTGTTTTAAGTAAATGTACGATTTTGTGTGGGGCCGAGTTCACAGCCACCCTGGGCTGCGTGCGGCCCCAGGGCCTCGGGTGGGACACTCCTGGTAGAGGTGACAGTGGCTTGGAGCAGCGTGGTGGGGAGGAGGAGGGTGGTCATTGTCGTCCTTAGTGAAAACCAGTCACACTCTGACCGCGGTGGCTCAGTGGGTTGGGCGTCATCCAGCAAAGGGACAGGTCATTGGATCCCAGCTGCGGCACAGGCCCGGGTTGCGGGTTCCATCCCTGGTCACGGTGCGAACAAGAGGCAACCGATTGATGTATCTCTCACATCACTGTTTGTCTCCCTCCCTTTCTCCTTCTCTTCCCCTCTGCCTAAAAGTAAATAAATAAAACCTTAAAGAAAACACTCACCCCTTTGCCTCTTCTCGGCCCGTGATTCTCTCCTCCTCACCTATAAACCTGCCTGTAGCGGCGGGTGCCCTGCACACTGTCCCCAGGAGCTCAGGGTGCAGCCAGCAGGGGGCGACACAGACGTGGGCCTTCAGACCCTGAAACACAGGCCCCGCCTCCCTCACCCTGACCTCAGCCCCCCCCCCGCCCCGCCCCCAGGAGGAAACCCCTGGCCGGCCTGAAGCCCTCTCTGCTGCCCTGAGGGCTCGGGTGGCCCCGTTTGCTGGCTCCGAGGGGCCTGGTCCCCCTCATCCAGAGGAGCCATCCGGATAGTAGCCGCCCCTGACCAAGGCACCAGGGAGACTTGACCAGGCGTTGTCTTCGGTGAGCCTCACGGCAGCCTGGAGGCCCCGGCAGCCACCCTTGTCCTGAAGGTGGGGACAGGGAGGCCCCGGTGGCCTTGCCCAGGCCCCCAGTGAGCGGCAGAGCTGGGATTCCAGCTGGGACCTGGAACTCGTTCTCTTAGCCCCAAGGGGTCATCGCCTCCCAGCTGCCCCGGGGGGATGCAGCCAGTGCCCCACAGAGGGGCAGGGCACTGCCCCCGCCGCCCCGGTAACAGGCTCTTCCTCCTCCTCCCCAGGGAGAAGAAGTGGGTGACCGTGGGCGACACATCCCTGCGAATCTACAAGTGGGTCCCTGTGACGGAGCCAAAGGTCGACGACGTGAGTATGAGGGGCCTGACCCCGGAGCGTCCCCTGCCTGCCCTCTTGGGCTGAGTGCCCCCTGGTTTGTCAGCGGGGACACAGCTGTGGACAGACATGTCTCTCCTCGGGGTCCTGGGCACCATGGTTTCGGGGCGGCCATGGTGGCACCCGCAGACAGGCAGGCGCACCCTGTCATTGTTACACCGGGCTGTACGTGTGCCAGGGGTCACCTCCTTTCGTCCTCACACCGAGTCTGTGGAGCTGACCACTGTCCTCTTGTACAAGTGAGGCCACAGGCTTGGAAGGGCGAGGCCACTTGCCCAGAGCCTCGCAGCAGGTGGCCCAGCATGTGTCGTTGTGCCTGACCCAGAGCACACGCGCTGGCTCAGCTCCCCGAGAGCCTCACCCCCACCCCCCAGCAGAGTTCTGTGCTGGGAGGCCTGGGCGGCTCTGGGAGGGGCGGCTGTGACCACTAGAGGGAGCCCTGGCGGCTGTGCTGGATCTTAGGGAGGGACCCGTGGTAGTCCCTCCTGGCCCCTTAGTGGTGCCCAGGCCAGCTGCTGCCAGTCCAAATCCTGACCGGTCCCATCTCTAGGCCTTTGCACGGGCTCCTCCTTATGCTTGGGGTGCCTGTCCTGTGCACGGTCCTCTCCTCCAGGAGGGCGGCTCAGCTCACGCTAAGCCACGTGGTCTCTTCCGTTCCAGGCCTCACAGAGACATGATTGGCAGGTTTCCGGGGCCCTTTACAGGTGGGGTTAAAGCCCCTGCCTCCGCCGTCTTCTGTTGCCCCTTCTGGTTCTGCCCTGGGCCCATGGCGCCCCCCAGAGCTGCCTTCCCCAGAGGCGCCGAGACCTGGGCCGAAACGGCCTTTGGTGCCCGCGGCGGTGGGCGGGGAGCAGCGTTTGCCAGGCTCCTCGCAGGCAGCTGCGGCTCGGCCCCTGTGCCGTGCACACCGTCAGGTGCTGGGAAAACGCTGCTGCGTTTGAGAAGACGTGGTCCCTGCTCTCAAGGAATTTATAATCTCGTTGGGGGAAGATAATTATAGAATAGCATGAAACAGACAGCAGGGGAGGGAGCGCCAAATGGATTGTGATCGAGAAGAAAATATAATATATGGGCCGTCGGGAGGGAGTGGGCTGCCCCGGGCTGGGCAGAGAGCGTGCTGGGTTTGGGGTTGGACAGACCAGTCCCTGGCGACCCCGTGACGCTGGGCAGGGGACCCCACCATGCTGGGCCTCAGTCCCCTCTTTCCTGCCACCGAGCAATGACACCCAGGTCCTGGGGTGTCTGCAGCAGAACCGAGGTGACATGTCACTCAAGAGGCCTCACCCCAGCATGGCTACGCAGATGTCACTCAACAAAGGCTCCTTCCTTGTCATCTGGGGGCCAGGACGAACAGCCTGCCATTTCTGCACCCCCACTCCCTGGAGGGGGGTGGGTCCCATGCCTGGCTGAGCATCGGATCCCCTGGGAATCGTGCCGAAATGCGGGTCCCTGGGCCCCGCCCCAGTCGGCTGAGTCCGCACCTCTGACAGTTGTGGCCTGGAATCTACCTGGTGGACGACAGCCGTTCTTTTTTCTTTAAACACCCAATTGCAACATGGTTACACCCTCTTTTTCCTTCAGAACAGGAAAACTTTCTTTTAAATAGATAAAAAGTGTTATAAAATTCAATCGTCACCCTGAAAAAGAATGTTTTCTTAACCTGAGCCTGTTTGTCTGCCACACAAGTCATTTGCGTAAAGTGGTCAGGGCTCCGATATTCAGTTGTGTCTCCGTCACCGCTGTGGTTGTCGCCCCAAAAAGACCTTGGCCACCACCACTGCCCCCCCAGCCCAAAGCCTGGAAACCACCATCTACTTTCTGTCTTCACAGGTTAGCGTAGTCTTCAAATGTGCCTTTTTACACTGTGTATCTTTCTGTAAATGGTCCCCCATCCCCCCATACACCCCCCACCCCGCTCAGCTCCTTCCTGGGAGGCACCCAGGGCTCACCCTTCCCGGTGGCCCCCCAAACACGCGTGTCCGTTTGTTCTCTCCTGGCCCAGAAATGGCGGTGTTCGCCTCCACGCCTGTTAGGCCAGCGTCTTGGAGACACTGGAGATGTGTTCAACGCTGACATTTTTGCAGACGGTTCCCCGTCATTACACGAAGCGCTGCCTTGTTCTCTGTGATTGTGACATCACCCGACACGGAATGAGCGCTCCGTGATTCGTTTAACAAGTCTCTTACCGATAGACACAGGTTGCTTCTCACGCTGTCCTGTTCCAGTTGTAAGAAACGGGACCACGGGTAAAAAGCACGCCCTTCCCCTCCGCCTCCCCTGGTCTTGTTCTGTCGTGCAGCGGGGACTCCGCATTTCTCCTTGGCTCCCCTGGCTTCACCGTGGTGGCCTTTCCCCCAGATCCTCTCCCTGAAGGAGGAGCCACCTCCTGCCAGTCAAGAGGGCTTAGCCACGCCCCCCAGCCCCGGAAGCCCCCACTTCTGCAGGGCCCTGGTTCCAAAGCAGGTGGGGCCCCCTAATCAGACACGTCCAGTAGAGACCAGGGAGAGTCCTCCGGGGACTTACAGGCTCTGCGATGAGTCAGCAGAATAAAATATTCCTGCCACCCTCCAGGTCCCACTCCTGTGTGCACGCAGGATGGTGACTCGGCTTCTGTTCCGTTCTCTCCTCCAGAAAAACAAGAACAAGAAAAAGGGCAAAGATGAGAAGTGCGGCTCCGAGGTGACCACGCCGGAGAACAGCTCCTCCCCGGGGATGATGGACATGCACGGTGAGCTCCCCGGCCGCCGGCCCGGGCCTGCCAGGGCCCTGGCTGAGGCGCTGCCCTCCTCCGCGGCCGTGTTGTGTTCCCCCAGCAGGTCCGTTCACATTCCAGGCCAGGGGTAGGAGGGCCGGGCAGGACTGGGCCTCAGTGCCAAGGAGAAGGCTCAGGGCCGGGGAGGAAAGTTCCTTCCCCAGCCCAACACGCCAGGAAACATCAAGTAAGAGCCTCTTCTCACCCAGGGACAAAATCTCACAGGAGCCCTGGCTGGTGTGGCTCGGTTGGAGTGTCGTCTCATATCCAAGATGTTGCAGGTTTGATTCCCGGTCAGGGCATGTGCCTAGGTTGCAGATTTAATCCCCAATGTGAGTGCGTACATCCTTGGTTCTAGTGTATACAGTAGGCAACGAGTTGATGTTTCTCTCTCTCCATTTCTCTCTTTCTAAAGGCAATGAACAAGTGTCCTCAGGTGAGGATCACAAAAGACATTTATCACCAGAGGGGTTCTGGGACATAACACTGTCCTTTTCCCCACCTAGGCCTGGTGCACTGTACAGATGACTGTATGTCCCATTTCCTGTTTTGCTTTGGCTGCTGGGAAGCTCCAGCCTGGGTTTCTGACTTCATGTTAAGCCACATGGACAGCCAGCATGTGCCCTGACTGGGAATCGAACTGGTGACTTTTTCGCTTTGCAAGCCAGCGCTCAGCCCACGGAGCCACGCCAGCCAGGGCCATTTCTTGTCACCTTTTTATCCACGAGGAAAGGCACAGGTCCTACGCGTGTGGCTCCACGAAGTGCCCACAGGTGACACAGGCCCATGGACCTGGCCCAGGTCAAGACAGCATTCCCAGTGACCCCCCAGCACCCCCTCCTGGTTGGCTCCCGCCTCCACGGGTGACCACCACGGACTCCTGGCCCCAGAGGGAAGGAGGCCAGTTCGCTTCCCCGTTTGCCCAGATGGACTCACTCGGGAACCAGGCTCTGAGGACACCGCGCTTGTTGCCGACCTGCCTTCAGAAAAGCTGGGGGGGGGGGTCTGGCAGGCGGTTAGCACACCTGGAAAGCCCCCCAGGGGCCATACAATCGTAGGTGGGATGCATTTCGTTTTCCGAAGCAGGTGTTGGGACTGGGACGCAACCTGTCTCCTTGGTACCCTGTTCTCTGGGCGTCATGAAAACTCCAGGCCTGGCTCAGGGTTTGGGGGTCAATCATAGAATTGCAGGTGAAGGCATTTAAAAATCTTTATTTTAATCCTCCCCTGAGGATATGTGCATGATTTTTAGAGAGAGAGGAGGGGGAGGGAGAGAGAGAACATTAATCAGTTGCCTCCCTATGCACACCAACCAGACATCTAACCCGCAGCCCAGGTGTGTGTGGGCCCCGACCGGGAATGGACCCCCCCCCCATCCTTTTGGTGGGTGGGACCACACCCCGACCAACTGAGCCGCCCGGCCAGGGCCAGATGAGGGCCTTCTGGAGTGGAGATCCAACCTGGGTTCAGATTTGACTCCTAGAATCTGCTCCCAGCGACAAGACTCTGGGCTATTGATCTCATAGCCTTCGGGTTGGTTTTTAATCTGTCAAATGAGGATGGTGATGCCTCTCTGTGAGTGTTAATTAGATCATTTCTTTTTTAAAAGATTTTATTTATTTTTAGACTGAGGGAAAGGGGGGGGAAGAAAGGGAGAGAAACATCAATGTGTGGTTGCCTCTCGAGCGCCCCCTACTGGGGACCTGACCTGCAACCCAGGCATGTGCCCTGACTGGGAATCAAACCAGGGATCCTTTGGTTTGCAGGCTGGCGCTCAATCGACTGAGCCACACTAGCCAGGGCTAAATAGATCATTTCTTAAAGCCTTGGCATATTAGTAACTAACATGCTTTAAGTATAAGTAACTGACAGCTTTAAGAAGCTGTCATAAGCTGCCAAGTATCTGCTAATAAGCTCATTTCATCACCTGATTTCATCCTGAAAACAAACCCCACTGTACAGATGAGAACAGTGAGGCTCAGAGTAAGGTGCGGTCACTTGCCAAGAGGCAGGAAGTTCATAGACGCCAGTGCTCGCGCGCGCGGTCCTCTGGAGGCAGCATCCAAGTGTGCAGCCAGTGGAAGAATCTAGAGGAACACTCCAGAAAAAACCCAGGATGCTGAACAGACCAGGAGCCGTGCTCGCCTTCCTGGTATCATTTCCACTTTATTAAAAAAAATTTTAGCCCTGGCTGGCATAGCTCAGTGGATTGAGCACGGGCCTGCGAACCACATGATCACGGTTTGATTCCCAGTCAGGGCACATGCCTGGGTTGCAGGCCAGTTCCCAGCAGGGGACGCATGAGAGGCAACCATACATTAATATTTCTCTCCCTCTCTCCTTCCCTTCCTCTCTAAAGATAAATAAATAAAATCTTTTAAAAAAAATGGTGCTGTCATTTTAAAAAATAAAGAAAAATTAATTTATTAGTTTGAGAGACAGAGAGAGGTTGGTTTGATGTTGTATTCGCCGGCTGCTTCCTGTATGTGCCCCGACTTGGGGTGGAACCCACCCCCTTGGCATATTGGGGTGATGCTCCGACCAGCTGAGGGCCAGGGCTCGTCTGCATTTCAGCACCTGTGCAGGAAGAGACGTGGGCCTGGCTGGATTCCTCCGCAGGCTCTGGGCCGCTGCGGGCAGCGAGGTGCCGTGGGGAGGCTGGGCCCCCCATCCCACCTCCCCTCCACGGCTGTGGGGTCTCACCCAGGGCTCTGCTCCCCCCACAGATGATAACAGCAACCAGAGCTCCATCGCCGATGCCTCGCCCATCAAGCAGGAGAACAGCAGCAACCCCAGCCCTGCGCCGGAGCCCAACTCATCTGCGCCCGGAGACGGCACCGGCACCAAGGCCGACGAGGCCCAGGCGGAGGGGAAGGAGCTCCCCGGGGCCGAAGGTCCGTGTGCTGGGAGTGGGGGTCGGGCCCTCTCTCTGTCCAGCCTTCCTTTCCTTCAGGCAGGTGCGACAGGACTCAGAAAAGGCCCGGCCATGTGCCGGCCCCGACAGAAAGGCCCCGGGAGGCCACCAGCAGAAAGGCAGTGCCTGGGTTCACGTTCTTAGGGGTACAGTTCAAAACCCACACAGATCTAGTATTTGGAAAATAAGTGTTCCCGAGAATTATAAAATAAGAAAGGGGAATGAGGTGTCTTGCCCCAGTATGGGGGCAGGTGGCGATTTTAAATCGGGGGGGTCAGGGAAAGCCTCGCTGAGCACGTGAGGGGAGAGCGCTGCCAGCAGGGGGAGCCGTGGAAGGGCCCCGAGGCTGGAGCACGCTCAGTGTGGCCCTGGGGAGACTGGGCAGGCCAGGGGCCCAGACTCCAGATGAGACCAGAGAGGAGGCAGGGCCCGGAGTGTGTGGGGTTCCTCAGGCTCCTGGGCAGACCTGCCTTTCGTGCTCAGTGAGACCGGAGCCACTGAGAGTCTGAGAGCCATGACCTGAAGGGTCACTTCGGTTGCTGGGACTGGGAACAGACAGGGGAAGGGGGGAAAGGGACCAGTGGCCGGGCTGCTGCCTTCAGCCAGGTGGGAGAAGATGGCGGGGCAGGAGGAAGGGGTCTGGCTGTGTGAGCCTGCACATGGGTATGTGTGTGTTTATTTTGAGGTCTCTAGACTTGTTTAAATGAAAACTGTCACATTTCAACGGCCCCTGACTTAAAGTGGTTTGAGTGATGGTGCTTCGACTTTAGGGGCATATGAAAGCTGTATGATTTGGTAGAAACTGTTCTTGTTTGAATTTGAACTTCCCCGGGCCAGCATGTGCGGTACCTCCTCTTTCGTGAGGTCAGGTCGTGAGTCACAGCGCCCAGGCTGCCCCGTGACGGTGAGCCAGGATGCCGTGGACACGGGACGGACTGGTCACATCTGGGTGACACCTGCCGGCCATGTGGCCTTGGGCTGGCAGTGACTCCTCCTGCACACCTTCCTGTTTCCTTGTTTATAAAACGAGACAAATAAAAGTGGCCTCTCTGGCCAGGTCACTGCAGGAAAGTATGTGAGGGTGAAATGCCCCACTGAGCCCGGCGCTAGGAAGGGCCCGGTCAGCTGTAGGGAGGAGATGACCCAGGGTGCCAGGGGCAGGGCTGTGCAGGACCAGGTGTGGGACACATCCCGGCTGCTTTCCCGTCCTGCTTTCCCTCTGGCCTTGGCCCAGTTTCACCCATGTTTGTGGGCTGTGTCCCCTTTTAAAGGGCCGGTTACAGGAATCATGTGCTGGGTTATAGTTCCTTCCACAACTGCCACCCACAGGCCTTACGGGTTCGGGTGGGAACCACAGCAGGGTCCTCTCCAGACCACGCCAGGCCTCTGGGCCTGCCCTCCCGCCCCCCGCTAGGGGGCGGCCTTCCCAGGTGGGTGCACATCGCCTGTGGGACGGAGTGTGTTGGTTACCAGCTGTTGACCTTGCTTTGAACTTGTTTACTGCTGACTGAGTTCAGGGAATGACATAATGTTCAAACTCCCTGGACTAAATTTAGGCCCCAGGAAAATAATTTCCCCTGGGCGAGTTCCAGTACCGTTCTGCTAAGAGAGTGAGGCCCCTGCGCTGAGCCCCGCACCCTCCCCAAGCTCTGAGGCCAGTTCCCACTGGGCACTCGGGCCAGGCGAGGGCTCAGGGCGACTCCCGGACACGGAGTCGTACAGCAGGTGGCGTTTTGTGTCTGGGGTCGTTACTTAGCATCCTGTGTTCGAGGCTCAGCCACACTGTAGCACTTGTGGGTGCTTCATTCCTTTGTGCGGCGAGTCACCTTCCACTGTGCGGACGGACCCCCGGCCTCCGTCCGTCCGCGTTCGGGCCGTTCCCTTCTCCTGGCCGTTGCGAATAGGGCTGCTGTGAATGCTTGAGTGTGGGGCCCCAGGAGTGGCGTGGCTGGGTCGTACGGTAACACTGCATTTAACCCGAAAGGTAAACTGAAAATATCGAAGAGATGGCAGGTTCCAGGGGAGCGTGCTTCTGTGCCCCTCATCATCCCTTAGTCACTCCCACCTGGGGTCATTCCGCTGCTGGGGTACTTGTCCTGTCATTCCCATGAATCCTTGGTGACTCACCAGGGTAGCCACTGTCCGCCTTGGTTTTACCAGGGTGGGGGGAGGGGAATCTGAGGCGGAGAGGCCGGGTCCCCACAGGATCCAGGTGGCAGAGCCAGCGCTGGAACCCAGGCCTGTCTATAAACGGACACCAGCTAGCAGGCGGAGGCCAGCCCCAGAGAGGGCTGACCCCCGACCCCACCTGTACCAGCAGGAAGCCGCAGCTCAGGCCCTGCTGGGGTGTCTCCGAAACCCTTGAAGTGAGGCATTCTTGAGTATTTCACTGTGCTTAAAAAACAAAACAGGGTGACCTGTGTCTCTGGGGTCCTGAGCGCCTGCAGAATGGGCCCCTGGGCAGGGTGGGTGGGGACGGGCAGGGAGCCGAGGGCAGGGATCCGAGCACACGGAAAAGAGCCCAAGTAACTGGCGGAGCCGGACTCGTTAAATAAGGAGTTGCTGACGGGATCTGTACAGCCATCTTGTACGCTCGTGTGTAGAAGGTTTTGAAAGACGTGAAAAATCCTTCCAGACTCCTCCGCCATCCCCACGGTGGGGAGAGAGAAGACTTAGGTGCAGGTAGGGGACGACATCCACAAAAATGGGACTAAATTTTCTAAAACGTGACTGGGGCGGTGGCTGCGGTTGGTGTGAGATGATCGGAGATTTTTACCTAAGATTTTTTTCCTGTTTTCTGCTTCATGGTTGGAGCGCGCTGTGTCCACCAGAGGGCGCCACGTGCACGCAGCATGAGCCGGGCACATTCTTGTGGCCGGAGGTCCTGGGTGTGCAGGAAAGGGTCAGAGGCCACAGGGCCAGCATGTGGCCTTGCTGCTTAAAAACGATACCTCTAAAAAATAAGCAAGAGGCTTTCCAGCTTACTCCCCGCCCCCCACACCATCCCCTGCCCCCACCCCTAGCTCACTGTAGCCCTGACAGACTGCCAGGACGCCCAGTTTCCCGGTATTTTTAGTAACTGGTCCATCTGGCCGCCCAGATCACGTGCCTGAAAACAGCTTCTGTCATCTTGCTTTTTCCTTCAGAGGCTTCCGACGAGCCGAACTCCCAGTCTTCAGCGGAAAACTCGAACAGCTCAGAGAAGGTCGAGCGGCAGCCGTCTGCCGAGGCGGGTCTAGCTGCAGAGGCGTCTTCAATCTCTCAGGTACTTCCACCGAGGTCTCAGAGGGGCAGCCAGAGCGGCTGGGTGCCCGCTGGGGCGCCGGGGGGACGTCGGAAGGTGTTTTGTTATTTTGCTGTGTTGCTTTCTCGTTGGACAACTGGAGCTGCCGTGTGTTCACCGTGCAGCACGCGTGAGCATCCGGGTCGCCCCCTGGGTGCCGGGGCTGCAGTGCCGGCTCTCGCCAGAGGAGGGTCCCTTCACTTGCACCCATAAAGGCCTTGCTTGCTCTCAGTGGCCCAAAGCCACCTGCCTTTAGAGCTGGGGAAATAAACTCTTAGAATCCTCAACGCTGGAGAAAGCATTCTTTGGAAACATATTGCAACAGACCGTACTCGCTCCTGCCTGGACCACTTCCTGGGTCCTCACTGTCCGAATCTGGTCTGAGGCAGACAGTGCAGAAGCAGGAGGCCTGGGTTCGAACCCCAGCTCTGTCGCACCCTGAGCCTCAGAGTCTCCAGCCGCCCAAATGAGAACCCAGAGCCACCCTAGAGCCAGGCTGCAAGGCGGTGACAGAATATGGGTGACAACACACCACGAAGCTGCCCACAGGACATGCCTCAGTGCTGCCTCAGCCACCGCCCTGCCCCCGCTGTCACCCTCTGGGCTCCCAGAAGAGGAGTGAGGGCTCAGCGGTGTCCCAGCGCCAGCAACAAACCGTGTCCACTGTGCTGAGCGGTTCCCGGTGCCTCAGGAGAGACTGGCCCGTGGCGGCAGAAATGGGCGAGGACGGGGCTCAGCTGGACTGGGTCTGCAGGTTGGGCGGCCTTCAGTCAGGCCCTCCCAGGGGACATGCCCCTCGGGACTCTACGCACCCGTGGGTGTGCACCATCCCTTCATCCTATGGAGCAGCCCCCAAACGCGCAGGGGCAGTGTGGATGGGAGAGGCCCGCGGGGGCAGGAAGTTGGTCGAAAGAGACCTGGTTAAATAAATCTGGGGTCGTGTGTGAAACAGCCCCGCCTGCAGCTGTTCAGAGGGCACGCCTGACCCCGGTCCTGATGGAGAAGAGCAGGCCACGGGGCCTCAGGTCCGGCACGAGCCCCTCGGGCGAAAAATAAAAATCGAAGCCTCGTGTGTAGTTTGTAAAGCCCAGCAGTGAGCTGGGGTCTCCTGGCCTCCTGAACTCAGTGGAGGAAAGGTCAGCTTGAAACTTAGATCCACACCCTGGAGGCATGTTGTGCTCCCCCCACCATCTGAAAAGTCCAGGGTTCTGGTGCTCCAACCCGCCCCCACCTCCACTGCCGGTGCTGGGCTCCCGGACAGGAACTGGGCCTCCTCCACCGCTTTCCTGCCCGAACAGACACGGCCGAGCCGCCAGGCCTGTGAGCGGGGCGGAGATGCGTGGCAGTGAGGCCAACGGCTGGACGTCCAGGTGTGGCCAGTCCTGTCTTGAAGAGAGGAGCCGGCTCCGCATCCGAGGTTTCCTCGCTCTCCTCCCTGCTGTCCGTCCCGCCGAGCTCACAGGCCTCTTCTCTCCTTCACCCCCGTCCCCCTCCTGCTCCGCCCCCCACTCCTCCCATCACGCACAGCACTCCGCCCCTCCTCGTGTTCCACCGCCAAGCCCACGCCTTGTCCCCCGCGTCCAAGGGCTCTGCAGGACGCCCCACCTTCTCCTGAGCAGGACTCACCTTCCTCAGAGACAGTGGCCTGTTTCCTCTGTGCCTATGGATTGAGCTGCCATCGCTGGTGACGGAGGAAAAAGGGAGAGGAAGACAGAGCCTCCTCTGTCTCCCTGTGGCATCTGCTCTCAGGATTGGCCCCAAGGAACTCCCGCACATCTTACATCAAGGCCCGGGAGCTCTATTCAATGTTTTTGTTTTTTTTTTTAGCTATAGATTTTATTTTATTTTATTTATTTTTCTAGAGAGGGGAAGGGAAGGAGAAAGAGTGGGAAAGAAGTATCAATGTGAAGTATCAATGTATGGTTGCCTCTTATGTATCCCCTGCTGGGAACTGGCCTGCAACCCAGGCATGTGCCCTGACTGGGAATCGAACCTCGATACTCTGGTTCACAGGCCCGTGCTCAATCCACTGAGCTACACCAGCCAGGGCTCTGTTCAATGTTAATTGGTCACCCACTGTATACCGGGCACTGTGGCAGGTGCTGGAGACCCAGGGTGAACCAGCAGACGGGGTCCCTCCCTGTTTCTGTGGGGCTCCAGTGCCTTGGTTGGGGAAGCCAAGACCGGGTGTGGTTGACACAGGGGTGACAAAGTTACAGCACACACTGGGGGAGGCCAGCACAGGGTGACGCAAAGGAGCCTTACATCAGTGGAGTGTTCTAGAACGGTGTCGGCAGAAAGGGGCAGGGTGGGAGCCAGGTGCAATGGTGAGACATTAGGGCTGGGAGGGTGGGCTCTGTAGGCAGAGGGAACCGAAGGAGCCCAGTCCTGGACAACGTGAGGCTGGGCCCCCGGAGACTGGGGAGGGGCCCAGGAAGACGGAGGGGCAGGGCAGGCCGAGAGTGGGCAGGGGCCTCCGGGCCTCCCCGGCCTGGTGCGGGGTTGGGATTTTGTTTGGTGTCAGTGGGTTTTAGATTCCGAGTGTGGTTTCTGTTCTGAGAAGGGCATTTGGCCGCACTGAAGGCTCTGCAGGGAGGCTGCTACGTCACCTCACGGGCCTAGGCCCAGGGAGAGGGGGCGGGCTCAAGGGTCTTCGGAGGTGGAGGGGAGGCGAGGGACTCCTGGGCACGTCCAGCTGATGTCAGCCCCCGGTGGGGATGGGTAAAGTCAAGAGCTGGCAAACACACACCCCACAGTGCAGATGGTGCGTCACAGAATTGTACCCCTGACACCTGGATTTCACTCACCGCTGTCCCTCCAGTAAATTCAATGTAAAAAAAGACTGGGTCTCAGGTGACAGATCAGGTTGGAGGGGCCTGAGGTGGCTAAGCGGGATGGTCCCGGCAGGCGGGGGGCAAGCGTCTGTTGAACCTGTTTTTGAGTCAGGGGACTTCTTGGGAATTTGGTGACAAGCCACAGACCCCCTCCCCAGAGCAACATCCCCGTGCACCTGTGACAGAGGCCGGGCTAGGCCTGTGCTGGGCCTCGGGGAGCAGCCGCCCGCCGGCCAGGCTGGCTTAGGCCTTGGAGCCCGGAGAGGTGAACTTGAAACTTGTGTGTAAATAATTACTGTGGCCGTGAATTACAGGTTGGAAGGTGGACAATGGGGACATCTGCTCCAGGAGGGTTACAGGGAGGGAGAGCTTAGAGGTGGAGGTCGGGGGCGGGGGGCACCTGGAGGGAGGCCAGTGTGACGGGGACAGGAAGGACCTGGGTGACTAGAGGCCTGGGAGATGGGGAGTGTGGATCAGAGGCCTCCCGCTGCCCCGTGAGCCTCCAAAAAAGTCCATGCTCACTGGGCCGGCCAAGGGTCCTGCTCTCAGTTCCTCCGGGGCTGACCTTGAACCTCATGGCTGCCCTAATCAATCTCCTGGCCTGGTAACCTGCCATTCTCTTCTCTCTCTCCTCCCTCCCCCCAAAGGATTTGGAAGGAGGGCCACCCTCCAAAAAGATGAAACTGGAGGCTTCGCAACAAAACTCGGAAGAGATGTAGACGTCCGCCTCCGCCTCTGGCCGCGTTTCCTGGGAGATCCATCCGCAGGCTTACTTCTCCAGCTTCCCCGAGCGAGACCTCGGGTTGGAACTACTAACTTTCTAAGTTTACCAAGTGCAAATCCAAGAAAACCTAGAACGGCGCGACTTCTCGGACACTGAACTTTGTGCTGTGAAGCAAAACACTCGAATCTTGAAGTGACTGTCCTTGTGGAGGCGGGTTGACAGCTCAGGAGTGTCAGACACTGTCTCTGAAGCCAAGATTACGTTTGCGTTGCTGCTGTATTGTCCCCCCACCCACCCACCCACGTCTCTCTTTAACGATATAAGCTATTTGAGGGTGGTACCCATCAGGAATTCGCGTTTCGTCGGGGCTTGTCACTGTTCCACCGATTCCTCCTGCTTTCTTTTTTGTGCCTTGTGCCCTTGAGGTGACCTCTGGCATGTTTTCCTGGTTGTTTTGCATCTCCCTTTGCAAAGTGCCCTCTCGGTTTTGTGGAGGCTGCCACTGCCCCTGCCCTCACATCTCGCTCCTCCCTGCCCCAGGACTTCAGTGGGAACAGAGCAGGCAGGGAGGAGGAGAGCCCAAGGCTGCTGGAGAGTAGGACTTCCTTGGCCACCTGCCCAGTCTGCAAGGTCCGAGGAGTCTCAGATGTCAGGGCACTGTGTCCCCAAGCACCAGCCACTTGATACGCTCATCTCCTTGGGGCATCTGAGCCTGGTGTTTCCAAGCGTCCCAAATGGACATGCAGAACCCTTAGACTGTTCTGGCGCTTCCACCCTCTGCCCCCACCACTCTCTTTTTCCCAACACTGCTAAAGATGGAATGGCTTCTGTGGCTGATGGCAGGATGGGCTCACCGCGATCAAAGGGTTGAGGAGGCGGCCAGCAGACAGCCCGAGTAGGTGCTGTTGAACTTCCTCTCCTAGGACAGGACGTTGCTTGGATTTCAAGTCCACAGGAACCTGCTGCCCTCTGCCTCTCCAGGTCCCCCCGGCCCCACCCTGGGGGGTGGGGTGCAAGATTGCAGTCCCGGGAATACGCCTGCTTCTGCGTCATGTTCCTGACCCCATGGAGCCAACCATTGGATCCTGTCTCATTCCCAGGACACCCCATTGTGGGTCCCCAGCCAGGAGCAGGCCTTGGTGGTTCAGCCTTGGAGGCCAGAGGGAGGAGTTGGACAGTTTTGCCCACCTCCAAGCAGGGGCAGTCGGACCCCCATCCCCATTCCCACCTGCCCCAGGGCAGCTCCCTCTCACTGAAACAGAGCCGCCCCCTTGGACCAACCACCTAAGTGTTTGGTTCTGAGGCCCGTTGCCCTTAGTTGCTATGGACTTGTCAGACCTTAGCCCTTCCCCTGAGCTTTCTTTACTGCACTGGAGTTCCAGCTCCCTTTGAGCTGTGTGTGGCTGGGGGGAGGGGGCGCTGTGGGGGTTTCGTTGATGGTTTTCTGTTTCTTTTTCGTTTTTTTTTTTTGCTAATCGGTGCATATTCAGGTGCCACCTGTGATGCGGGGCGCTCTCCCCTGACCACCATGGAAGTGTCTGCCAGGTTCCACTTTCTACGAGTTTCTGAGGGCGAGGCTCTTGCTTCATTTTATTTTATTTTTTAAGAAGAGCCGATCTATTTCCTGCACTTCAAGAAGAATCAAAATGTTCCTGAATTTCAAATACCTCATGCAAAAATGTCTCCTGAAATAAGGGAAAACAAACAAACTTTGGAAATCTCAATATTGAAGTGAGCGGTGGCCGAAAGGTTTCTGTCTTAAAAAAAAAAAAAAAAAAATCCTTGTCGGTTTGGCCCCTCGGGCAGTCAGCTCTCCGAACCAGGCTCCGGGTTACCTCTCAGCGACCCCCCCAGGCGGCTTTACCTCCAGATCCTGTAGGGTTTGAGTCACGTTTTTCTTTGCAGCAAAACTCCATTCTGAGGAAAGATGAATTTGGATATCTATTTCCTGCGCTTTTTGGGAAGCGAGAGGTGACAACCAGGACAGCTGAAAGCGCATCGCGCATGCGCGCACACCTGTGCGCATGCGTCCACAGACACAGCGAGTCGGCCGGGGTGCCCTGTGCCCCTTCTGTTGGCCTGTCCAGACAGGCAAGGGGAGTCAACGCCATCCACGAAGCTGAGGCTGTCGTTCGTTTTTCTCTGAAGTGCCTGAAGGTAGGGACGGGCAGGTGGTCGGACAGACTGGGCCCCGCCAAGGCCACACCGGGCCAAGCGCCAGCAGCCCGCACTTGACACTGGCCGAGAAGGCCTTCCATGGTGAACAATGATACTGCAAAAATCCAGATGTGCTTCCTTCCCCGCAGCCCGCTCCTCTGAGCCGCTGGCCCCCCGGCGCCCCCCCCCCCCCCGCCGCCTCCCCGCGCCCGCGCCCTCTCCCACCGCAGAAGCTAAGACCTTGCAGCTGGCCGAGCCAGGGCGGGGGTCCCAAGCCAATGCCTTCCGTGGACACCAGGCCCCATGGCCTTAAGGGCTCCCAGGGCAAACTTACTCCCCCCGAGAAACTTGAAGCTGGGGACGCTGCGGCTACACATTCCACAAAGTGCTGGCACTTAACACCCATAACCCGGAAGGCAGTTGACCGACTCATAGGGTGGTGACCTCCTGTTACAAATGACGTCATGGTTTGGAATGTTCATTACGGCCAAGGACCTGGTTAGAGGTATAAAGACTTTTTCACATTATCTAATTTTTTTTCCTTTTATGGGTTTTTTTTTTTTTGGTGTGTTGTACAGCAGTATAATTTTTCACTTATTTATTCCATCGGTAGATATGGTTTGTACAATGTACAATGGTTCCATTTCAGAAAATAAAAAACTTTCAGATCATGAACAAAGCCCTCTGACTGCAGCAGCACAATAAAGAGTCAGACCCCATCGTTGGGGAGCATGTCTGTCAGCAGCCGCTCTGGCCTCCGGCTCGGCCGCGTGGCCCTGACTTGATACCAGACACTCCTGTCCCACAGTCATGCTCTTAGCTGCCATCATTGGGCACCAATGGGTGCTGTGGGTGGGTGTCGTAGACCACCTTATGCCAGTGAGGCAATTTCAGGACTGCCGGGTGCAAAAGTCAAGTAGCCAGCCAGAGCCCGGGTCTAAAAGCCACGCCTGGTCCTCCAGCCTGGGTCCTGGCCTTGGCCCTGACTCTGGGAATCTGTGGCCTGAGGCAGGGACAATGAGAGGCTGATTGCAAATGTGTTTTGACTTGTCTTAACTCGCTATCTGGTGACTTGGGTTCAGGCCAGAGTCAGAACCTTCCCCCAGGGCCCTTGCCCCTCCCCTCAGCTCAGATGCCCTCCGGGAGTTGTCTTTGTGTTCCCTTTTTTCTCCGTCCCTCTCACTTCCTCTTCCACCTGACACCCAGCCCTGGGGGAGTGCCGATAAGGAAAGGGTAGGAGTACTGCTGAGTCAGCCGGGCTCAGCCACTGACCACCTGGAGGCCAATGTTCTCTCTCAGTGCGTCTCTCTCTCCCCACCCCTCTCCTTTTTCACCGTGTTCCAGTGTTTTTACCAGGACTCGTTGCTCAGCAAAATAAGCTCCTGGAATGGAAAGTTCAGCTTGACAGAACACAGATCCTAGGGGCCTGTTTGCTTAATGAGAACCGGGAGAGCTGTGGCTGGTGTCCTCTCCTCCCCCCCACCCCCGCCCCGTTCTGTCCTTCCTGTGTGTCTGTTTTCTGTCTCTGCCTGTCTTCCCCTCTTTCTCTGCCACTCTTGTCCCCTCCGTCTCAGGTCTCTGTCTCTCAGCCATTCTGTTTCCTGTGCTCTGCCTCTCGGCTCCTCTGTCTCAGCTTCCCCCTCGCCCTCCACCAGGGGGGGGCAGTCGGGCTTAAGGCCTTCCAGGCACCCATTGTGCACCTTCCGTGTGCTGAGCCCGGGTCAGCAGTGACTCAGACTTGACCCTTGCCCTCTGGACAGAGAAGGGAGCCATCCGGTGCGCTGGGGAGAGGTGCATTTTGATGGTGTGGCCAGGGAGGCTCCTAGGGTGGTGGAAGGAGCCCAGCATGCAGTTAAAAAGCTCATTTCTCCTTGTTGATGAGGAGTGGCCAGAGGCTTGTGAGCCACGGTTGTGCTGTAGGGAGGACAGGGTTGCCAGGGTGGCATGGAGTGGAAATGGCCAGACAGGAGGTGGGGGCAGGACAACCAGGGAACTGGGACAGTAGGCCCTGAACGGGAAGGGCTGTGTACCCCCAGGGGAGGTGGGCCAAGGGGTACCCCAGACAGGTAGGGCAGGGAAAGGTGGACTGGGGAGGTAGTTAGAGAAAGCTCTTGCCCATGTCAGTGTCTTGACCAGCTCAGCAAGTGCCATGGAGCTCACCGGTTGGTCTCAGGGGATTGCAACCCCTAAACACCGAGTCTACCCTCCCCGCCTGCATGAGGGTGCATATTCTCCATCAGGGGCTGAGACACACCAGCTCCTTTGCCAGTTGCATTCCCTTCTTCTTCCAGTAGGGGTCCCCCTCACCCACTCTCAGTCCCAAAGGTGGCCATGTGACTCAGGCCTAGGCCCTTCCCCCTGGCAACAGCAATTGGTTCAGGGATGATCACATGACCCAAAGTGGCCCATTGAGAGTCAGCTCCTGTGATTTTTTTGTGGGAACCGTAGAGAAAGTTCTGGTGGAGTGCTGGCTGGCATCGTTCAATGGAGCTGAGCTGCTGGCGCCACCCCTGCTCCCAGGTGGGGAGAAGCCTGCCTGGGACGGAAGCCAACACAGGGGCGAGTTGCGAGATGGTGACTGCGAGCTTCCCGAGAGCAGCGTCCGAGCACCCGGCCCTAGCTGGCCCTGAAGCTGGCTCTTCTCCGGAACTTTACGTTCTGTGAGCCAGTACACGCCCTCGATAGCTCAGGTCCGCTTACGCTGGCCTTTCCCACGTGAGCCCGACTCCTCTCACCCAGGGCGCAGAGTGTCTCCCGGGCACATTCCGGAGGAGTGGTGAGCAACATGACAGCTCTGCCTCCTAACTGGGGCTGCCCCTCTCCCCCTCCGAAATGTTCCCCTTTCAGTGCACCCACGGGACAAGGACTTGGGAGTTCCCAGCTAGGACAAGAAATAAACAGAGGATAACACGGACCCATTTTGAACTTTCGAGACAGCCTTTTCTATAATCCTCAGGGTCCCAGCACTTTCGCGCTGTGTGACCTCAGGTAAGTAACTCAGCCTCTCTGGGCCCCAGTTCCCTCATCTGGAAAGTGGAGAGAATAACAGTGTCTACTCAGGACATTGTGAGGATCAAATGAATTAATAACCCGCGAAATGCTTGGGACAAACCCTGACACATAGTGAATTGCAACAAATGTTAGCTACTATTGTGTCATAACAATACAGTCATCATCCTCAAGCGTGTTTAGACTCCAGAAGTCCAGCTCCTAGAAAACGAGGCACAAGGAAAGGCCAGAGCTGCCCATCCCCCAGTGCTTTGGGCTTGCCCTCTGAGCTACGCCCTGCTCTCTTCAAACTCACCTCTTCTCCAAATGATCGGCACTGGACTGACCCACCCAGCACACCCCAGGTGACCACTCCAGCGTCATGCTTTGGGGTTTGAGTGGAAAACCACCAGGAAACGAGCAGAACAGAAATCTGGCTGAGCCAAGGGTGTTAGCAAAGGGCTGGCAATTGGACGAGACTGCCCCACACCGCTGCTGCTACCACATTGCTGCCGCAGGCGCGGGCTGCCTGGTAATCTGGGCCTAGGCAGGAGCTCAGGGGAATAGGCCACTGGGGGTACAATTTTCCAGTCTCTCCTTCACTTTGCTGTCCCTCCCCAGATTCTCAGAGGACAGACTGGGAGGCAAGGGTCAGGATATGGTGCTGGGCCTATGGGCCCTGCCTCTCTCTGGGACACCCCTGAGACACTGGTGCCCATGGCCGCACTGGTGATGTGGGCTCCATGTCTTTCTCTCCCAGGTTCTGGCAGAAATAACCTTTGTACTGAAGAATCTCGAGAGGCTCTTAACTCCTGCTTTTTCCTCCCCGAGGGCTTCCTCGGCGATGAGCTCATCCGACTTTGTTCTGTGTGGCCCTGAATGGTTGTGTGGAGTTGGGATCCGTGTCTTGTTGCACAGACAGAGAGACCGAGGCTGGCAGTGACGGTGCAGAGCCCGTGGGGACTCGGCAAGGGAGGCTCCGGAATCCAGCCCGTCTTCCCCTGGATGGGACATACCCAGCCCGCTGCTAGTTTTTGTGGATGAGGCGGTGGAACCCAGCCGCACCTGTTTGTCTGAGACAACCTAGCAGAGCCGGGAAGTTGCCGCAGAGGCTGTAAGACTGGCAGAGTCACACGTGTGCACCCTCTGCCCCCTACGGAAAAGTCTGCCCACTGCTGCCCTCAACCGCGCTTTCCTACTGAAACTCTCTTATTAGAATAGCAATAATTGCCCACGGTGCCAGGCACCGTGCATGACTTTTCTGAATGTGTTGCCCACATGTAAGGGGTAGCTCAGTGAATTTCACACCCTAAATACACCTGCACGGCCAGCACCTGGGTCAAGAACCAACCGGTCACTAGTCCCTGGACACAGTCCCCACCCCTTCCCATCCATACCCACGAAGCGTGACTGCTACCCAACTTCTCTTCCCACATAGGAATTTTGCCCGTTTTGGGGCTTCGTATTCATGGGTTCATACGGACGCGCTCTGCCATGTGGTCCAGCCCCTTTCACTCTCCTCCGTGTGTGTGAGATTCTTCGGGATCGTGGCGTCCATTGGAGTTCACTCACTGTGGTTGCAGGGAGTCTTCCACGGGGCGAGGCCACTCCTGCTGCTGCTGGGCGTGGGATCTGCTTCCAGTTTCCGGGGAGGATTATGAACGTGCAAGACGCTGGGCATCCGTTGCTCCGTTTTAGCCTGGCTTTACCCCTGAGAGGGGGGACCAGCGTGTAGCCCCACCTGAAAAATGTGAAGCCTGAAGTGCAGACGCAGCATTTGGGGAGGGCCCTGGGCGCAGCTGGCGGTGCTTGCTGCCCCAATTCTCTGCCTTTCCGCTCAGATGCTGGCTTGAAAACTCTCACCGTGACTACAGACTGCACGATGCCATTGACATGAACTTTCTAGAACGAGCAAAACAATGGCCTCAGAAGTTGAGCCGGTTTGTCTGAGGCTGGGAGCAAGGGCTGGCTGCATGGAGGCAGGAGGAAATGATTTTGAATTGTGCACTGAAAGTGGCTACATTTCAGGGGGTGTAAAATAGAGCTCAGTGAGGCTCAGAAAAAAGCGCCAAACCCACATGCCTCAATGTCTTCTCCTGCCCGTGCCTCAGTTTCTCTCAGAGGCGTGAGGCTGGCCGTGCCAGCTGTCAAAGGCTGTTCAGCCACAGTTTTCCGGTGCCCCCCAGGATTAGATGCTTCCCACCAGTGCGATGACTTCCTGCAAAGGTGCCGGTCTGGGGCGGGAGGGGGCGGGTCTCCCTGTCCAGAGGTGACATGTGAAACATCCTGTTTGCTTCTCCATGTCCGACCTGCCACCTGCCGGGGCGGGAGAGCCACGCGCAGCGGATGCCCAGGCCCCAAACTGTTTCTCCAAGTGGGTCCCTGGAGACGGCGGCTGCCTTTCAGTGCCTGCGCTTGTTTGTTTTCAAAGGGATGCTGCCAGACCGCCACACCACCCCTGCCCTTTCATGGTTTGTTTTATGTAAAAAATTCAGGAGGCAAGCGAGGCAGGAAGCCACCTGAAACCGATTCTTCCTCCAGCAAAGACCTGTCACTGGGCTCCAGCTGTCAGGTTTGAGAAATGGGTGGGGCCAGGGTGTCCCCTCGCTGACCCCCGCCCCCAAAGCCCCGAGGAGCCTGATGGTGTTAATGATCATCGCAGACATTCAGTAGTGGACACAGGGACGGTTGGACG